GGGGCGCTCGCGCCTCCTCGTGAGCTGCGCCCGCGGTCCCGCTCGGACGCCGCGCAGCCGCCCTGACGAGCGCCCCGCCGCGAGGTGGCGGAGTGTCGCCGCTGGAGTCTTACCGCAGGGTTCTACAAGCGGAACTGGGACTTTTCCCTGCCGTGTTCTCACGTGCTTAAGCAGTTCTTTTTAGGGACCTGAGCCGCTTTGAGAAACAAGCTATGGGCCTCAAAATGCACCCAAACGCAAACCCACAGAAAGTTACATGAAGTTTATCTTGTAAAATCGGAAATTGATTTACTTCACATAGACAACTATACAAACATTATTTTCAAAGAATTGTGCCATTATCATTCTTTTCTTGCAAAAATTAGTGGCCACTTCCTAGAAAAAAGATTAAATATATTCCGTATGCAAATAAAAACCTTCAGTTCTCCAATAGTATTTGGTTTGAATTTGTCTTGCCATTTCCTTTTTCCTCATTCATCAAATACTGTTTTATAATCTACATTTCAATTGAATGAAGTCTGAGATATTGAGATTTATGGATTTGGTTTTTTGGTAAAAGGAAATCGCTTAAGGTTTTTGAACTCTACAGAGTTTGCAGAGAGCATTTCTGCAGGACTTGAAGGCATTCTAATAGTGAAGGACTGTTATCAAGGGTCTAAGGGAAGAGTGAGAATCCCTCTCTGCACTTTCCTTTAAGGTTCTTATGGCTGGCCAAATCATTAACAAGACAGATTAGCAGGAGAAAATAATACCAAGTTGAATAACATGTATACATGGGAGAAACCAGGGAAACTGAATTTCTCAACACAATGGCAGCGATTCTTGTCTTAAATACCATCTTCAGCTAAAGACAAAGGAGGATGTTGGTGTAGGTAGTGTTTTCGGATTTCAGAGAGGAAGAATACAATTAACATGGAGATAGAAATGCAAATGTTTGTCTGACAACTCTTTTCAGGGCCACCTATAGAGAATATGGCCAGGGAGAGACAGAATTTTTGATAAAAGGGGCTTGGTGCCTTTCCTATTGTAACATATGTTTTACATTATTATTATAGCCATCATGATAATAACTCCTTCCTGAAACAGATCTTTTGTTTTAAATTCTTTAGGCAGTTTGGGAGGGGAAATTCAAATGTTCTTCCTGAGTTTTCTGAGTCTTTATTGTCTTCAGCTTGAAATAATCCGCATACCAGAGTGGTGCTTCTTGGGGTGGCCTGCCCTGAGCACCATCGAGGGCCTGAAATGATGCAAGTTAAAAAGACATTTGGTGTCAGAAATCAAGAACTAACAACACAGAATATAAAAAAGAAGCTTAAAAAGAGAATGTTTAATTCCAAACAGAGGCATGTGAATAATATTAGTGGGCAGGGGGGCACAGGGCTCCATGCAGGCTTGCTAGGATTATGGACTCGCTGGCTGGAGGTCTTACCTACCTGGACCATTACTTTACCTACCTCAGACCTACCTGGTCTGAGCCAGGGTATTTATTAGCTTCATAGGACCGAACTCTTGGTTGTTCAAGATGATAATTGGCTGATCAAGTAACCTGCTAGTATGGGGCAATAAAAGACCCTCCCCTGCGTGGTCTTGCTGAGCCACTGAAACTGAGGATGATGATAAAACACTAGTTCCGTGGCCTCAGAGGCTCTGAGAATCACGCCAGCAGCAACACTTGCTGAATCAGAACATCTGACCATGTGATCCAGGATTCTGTATAGTTAGCACGTCTCACAACTGATATTTTTTTAACGGTCTTCATTCACTTTATTTTTCTTGTATGAAAACAATATGTGGCGGCCACAGCTGGAGCCTGGATCCTCTGCACAGAGACTCTGCTGTGGGTCTTTACTAGAAGGTCAGTGAATTCCTGATGGGGAGACTTGGTGAACACAGCCTGTTTCTAGAGGTGGTGGGATGAGATAGCTGTAGATC